TATTGACTAGATAGTGTGTGATGTTATGGGAATTTTTAGGAGAAAAGAGTCTGCAGTCATATGTGGAGCCATTGTGTATAATTGAACATGGTGACCACCACAAAGGATGCATGGTTGATGTGAGTGAGGACTGAAATCCAGCCGTGCTAGACTTGCCAAATTCCCCAACAGCCTACCTGTGAACTGTGCATCTTTCAAATAGAGAATACAATACAACATGTATAGCTCAAATTCAATATAACTAGACATTTTCCCCCTTATGATCTCCGAAGACAAGTGTATTAGTCTGTTTTCATACTGCTCATAAAGAACTGCCAGGGACTGGGTAATTTATAAAGGAAAGAGGTTTAATTGACTCATAGTTCCATATGGCTGGAGAGGCCTCAGGAAACTTGAAATCATGGCAGAAGGTGAAGGGAAAGCAAGGCACCTTCCTCACAAGATGGCAAGAGGGAGAGGTGCCAAGCAAAGTGGGGAGAGCTCCCTATAAAACCATCAGATCTCCTGAGAACTCACGATAAAATAGCATGGGGGAAACCACCTCCATGATTCAGCTACCTCCACCTGGTCTCACCCTTGACACATGGGAGTTATGGGGATTAAAATTCAAGATGCAACTTGGGTGGGGACACAGAGCCTAATCATATCAACAAGTCTTTCACGGAATAACTTGGGAAGCATGGAGCTAAACTGCTTGCCAGAGGGTGGAGGTTATACAGAGGAGATGTATAGAGAGGTGAGAGTTTTTGCCATTTTTTTCTAACTAATGGGGCTCTTACTGGTGATGTCTTTGAGGAGAAATCTCACTCTATTGATTTACCTATCAATTACTTTTTAAACATTTCTATCACATATAATATCAAAATAATCACAATAGTATTCTTGGCTAGAAATGGAGAAGCCTTTTCCCTTCATTCAATCTTCCATTCTTGACAGTGTTGGGCTGATACTTTTTTCCTTTCTCATTGATGTCTCTGGGAAAGAAATGTCTGTGTGTTGTTTAGAAGTCTCCTTTCTGACATGGTGACACCTGAGGTATTAATGCTCTTCTCTCTTGACACATTTCATAAAATGGTCGTTTGTGAGATACTGCTCTCTTTTCCTTCCCTTTTTTCCCTTTGAAATTAAATGAACTTCCACCCAAAGAAAAATAAATGTCCTGAGATGAGATTATCATAATTGTTTTGATAGGCAATTGATGTAGGAGTTAAGAAGAAATTACTTAGGCACATAGTGAAGATACGGAAGTCCTCAGTAAGGTTTTCCTTTAAATGAAAAGCAGCCCCAAATCATATTCCTTTCTAACAAAGAGCAGCCTATAAAATCGAGCTGCAGACATAGATGTTGTGCCAATCATGTTCAAAATGGCAGCTCCATCTTTCCCTCTTATCAGCCATGTGTATGCACCTGTAATCCCAGCTACTCAGGAGACTGAGGCAGGAGAATCACTTGAACCCAGGAGGGGGAGGTTGCAGTGAGCCAAGATTGTACCATTGCACTCCAGCCTGGGAGACAGAGCAGGACTCTGTCTGAAAAAAAAAAAAAAAAAAAAAAAAGGATGGGGTGGCCAGTCTTCCCCACATGCTATGTAAACATTACACCTGATCAAACCAATATGTGGGCCCTATGTAATTCAGACACCGCCTCCTCAAGCCTGACTCTAAAATCTGGTGAAAAACTACCACCTGCTGACCTTTTCCCTTTTGGAAGCCACCGTCTCTCACCAGAGAGAGCGCTGTTCTCCTTTCTCTTTTTTCTGCCTGGTAAACCTCTGCTTTTAAACTTCTCATATGTGTGTCTATGTCCCAAGTTTTCTTGGTGCGAGACAACAAACCCCAGGTATTTACCCCAGACAAGGTAGCCACTTCACAATGATAGTAAACTTCAGACAGATCTCTATGAACTATTGTGAAGAAAGTGGAAAAATACCTTTTCTTGCATAGATTGATATATTTTCTGTAAGTCAAGAGAGATTAACCAAACGAGATGCATAATAGCAAGCATTATAGTACTTAAGACATATGCATTAACTAAGGGGCCAAGTCCATAAACTATTATTTATAAAGCAACTTTTGATAGAATATTCTTTTTTGTAATCTTTAATTTCCAATATCTACATGAGATGAGTCAAAAATTCATTTTCTACATTTACCCTTTACTTTATACCTCACCCTTATCCTATTCTCCCGTGTATCTGGTAAAGGGTTGGGGTTGACCCTGACAGCTCAATTTTAGAACCTCTGATACCAGTTGTCTTTCAGCTGAGTCAGCCAGTGAGAAGTATTGATGAGCATTTGGACGGCATGAGAGAGGGGGAGGCCACAACTTCCTCCCTGCTTCAGCTGGCAAATTTGGCAGCGCCATGTCTTTTCATGGCTCCAGTTTGAATCAGTCATGCTTACAGCTACTGGTGGGATAACACCAGCCCCTAGATTCCAGTTACAGACCTTTGAATTTGTTTTGTCCCTCAGTCTAGAGGTGATGGCAGCTTTCTACTGTTGTTCAGCTCTGGGTTGGCTCACCATTCCCCATTGCCCCCCCGATTCCCCACTGCCTAGGTAAGCAATTTCTTTCACTACGTTCCCTCTGTTCAAAACACTTACAGAGGTTTCCTTTTTCATGATTGAACCCCGACTAATAAACTTCATTCCATTTTATGTATTTTTAAGATAATTTTTGATTATTCATTTAAAAAAAACTGGGGAAGTTTATTTGTTATTTAGAATAAAATGAGATCATACAAACGTCATGAAATAGAGGAGGCCATACACCCTTATCTTCAAGGTTTTTCATACTTCAGTTTGTGGGAGGAAACCATCGAGGCATCAGTTAAATTAATTCTGCAAATGTTTACTCAGTCCCTAGGGTGGGGCAAGGAATATACTAATCATTAGTTTCTGAAAGTTGACTCAGAGCCCTTGAATAATAAGTAAAACTAAACAAGCTCTTTAAAGTTGTAAAAATGATAACACTATTCAAGGGAAGACACTGATTCAACAAACCTCAATAATAATATTTTCCCTATTCCATTGATACACTTCTGTCCCAACTAGTTTCTATATCTTCTTTAGGTCTGTAATTGCTAGATGAACACACTGTGTGCTTTCCTATGGGTCCTACTAATGTGGTATTTTCTTTTTCTTTTCTCTTTCCCTTTGGATTTAATTTCCTCACCATTTGGTGTCATTAGAAAGTCAGGACTTTTTGAAACAGCAGAACCTAAGCTCACAAACCACAAAGTGAAACATTAATTCCAATATCTATCATCCATTTGCACAACAAAGGTAAAAGGGCATCAACATAATCCCATGTTTTTTATAGGCATGTTAGTCATCTGGCATTTTACTGCATTAGAATTTATTACTTCAGCAGTCTTCAGCATTAAAAGCGTTTTAAAAGTATTTTAACATCCACTATAGACACTGTTGGTGCCCTGCCCACATTATCTCACCTGTACCATTTCAGCGGACATCAAACTATCAGAACCTGCCTTTCTTTGCTTGTGAGTTTTTTCTGACACTGGAACCTGTTATTCCCCCTCTTTTGCCAGACTTGAAAGAACAAGGAATCCATGGACCCCAGGAACAGTCCTCAACCAAAGAACACTTCTTTCCTCAGGTGTTATGGATCTGAAGAAGGTAGAAAGAGTCCTCAGTGGGATAAGAACTAGGTCAATATACCCTTTACTGTCCACCATCACTAGCCCATATCATTCCTCACTGCATTCTCAGTGTTCTCTTCATGGCCTAAACAAATTGTTCGTGCTCAAAACTTTGTCTTATGGGCTGCTTCTAGAGGACCCCAAACAGAGAAAAAAATAAATTATTTCTCAACTCTGGGGAAATGTCAGCCAATCCCAACAAGGTGACTCACCCTCATGCATATATTCTAGGGGAGAACCAAGTGACTAAATGCTGCTTCTGATAAAGCTACAGTGATTAATGAAGAAGTCAACAATTGCAACAACACTTCACCTTTCTGTGCTCCGTTCCCTCACATTTTCATCATGTCTAGCTTCTCTAATCAGGGTATCTTTGGACACAATAACAGAACAAATATCCCAATGATCAAAATTAAGATGATAGTGACCAGAAATTCAGGCCATGGAGAGCCCACCATTGTAATTATAATCAATTGTGTTCACTTACTGATAGCTTTGCTTCTGTGTTTATTAGTTTTCCATTTAAGATGTCAGTGAGTTATTAAAAGATTATCTCCTTTCTCAGCCATTGCTATGATGCTATTTTTATTTCTCTGACTATACAGAACTAAAAATTACATGCAAATGAGTGCCAATTTAGCTTACTTTTTAGAATTTCAAGCAGTGAACTGTGATAAAAGTATATTTATGATAAAAGTGTATATACATTCTTTCTGAATCATGGCATCATGTTGCTGTTTTGGGGTGGTAAATCTTTTGTTATCTTTCCAAATACTGTTTTGCAGCTGATTTTAATAGACTTTACATAAAATATACCAGCTTCCAAAAACAGGACTGTGTGTATGTCAGAACTGTACTTCTATTGTTAGCCTCCAAGCTTTTCCATTGCTTAACATCTCCACCTCACAGGCCATTGCAGAGTACAGCAGAGAGTAGTTATTTCCTGTGGAGAGTTGCTTTTCATTTTGTGAATACATTACAAGGTAGGTTTAGGCAAATGAGAGGAAACAAAATGTTAAGTTATTGAGATAAACAACTTATCTATTTCCACTACTTAAGCAAAACATAAGCAAGGCTTGAACTAAGAAAGTGTTATTTGGATGAAAAAAAGTTATAAAGATGGCAAATTGCTGAAATTCTAATTTGCTTTTTGTTGTCTGAGATCCTCATTGATCAAAGAGAGAAACCACACCATTTCTACAAATGAGTGCTAAAAACTGTTGAGACAGATGCCATCACACTGTTTGTGAACAATTAAAGGCAAAAGGGACACCATCATGACAGAAAAATGAGGCAACCTGGGAACTTTAAAGGCACTTAGGCACTCTGCTGTCCTTTATTGGTGTTTTGTATGCTCAGTAATATGAAGGAAGCAGAAGCATAGACCGGGGGGTGGGGGGGAATAAGAAAATAGATAGATTATGTTAACACGGTGAAGAGACAAAGATTCCATTGTCACTAAGAATGTCATATTGCTAAACTTCAATTTAGGGGGTTACTTAAAGGCATGGCCTTATGGAAATTTAATGATACGTTATGGTTCGTCGGAACTTGTCAGTTGGCCCCAAGCTGCGATAATCAACTTTTCAATGTCAGACTCATTTACTCCTCGAAGAATTCTGAAATAGCCATTCTCTCCCCATAACTTTCCCCAGGAATTGGCAGCAATCTGCAGAAAAGCAAACAAAAAAAGTTGAGAAACATACTTAGGTATTAAAACAAAAAGCTATGGGACACTCATTTGTAACTTTAAATGTCTTTGATTTATCATAGACTATAATTATCAAGAACCTACCTATTTTTAAATAATGGTTGTATTATGTATCAGTTACACTAATATGCAGGCATGTTGGCAATAGCCAGAATTGATATGACTCTTCTGAGTTTCCCAGAGTACTAAGGTAACATATGCATGAGCTTTTGAAATGCCACATCAGAAGATGTCATGCAAGCTGCAGTTATAGAGTGTCTACTATGTGAACAACAGCCTGTGCTAGGTGCTGGAAGATCAAAGATGAATAACACATTAGCTTATGTTCAGAAAGTTTCTAATCTAATGAAGAATGACCAACATAAGGCAAGTGCTAAGGTGGAAATAGGTACAGGGTATTTTTGAGGTCAGACAAAGGGCATCTCATTTACTTGGATGGTTCAGGGAAGACATCGTTGAAGCAGTGTCACATGGGATGCATATTAAAGCCTGAAAATAAATTCACCAGATATAAAAGGAGGAAGGGAGATTCAAGTAAAGGGAAACAGTAAAATCATAAACACCAAAGCATGAAATAGCATGAAGTAGTGAAACGAAGCAATAAAATGGTTATAATTAGATCATGAGACAGAAGCAGAATGGTAAGTTATGAGGCTGGAAGGGGAGGAAAGAACCATCCATAATGAGACAATAATAGGAAAGATGATGACAAGCCATTGAGTTGATTCCAGCAGGAAAGAAAGGTGGGCAAATTCATGCTGTGATTAGATTATCCTATATGATATGAAGTGGATAGATTTAGGAGGGTAGAGACAAGAGGCAGAGTGACTAGCTAGTAGACTCCTGTAATAATTCAACTGGATAAGGGAAAATAAAATACTTGAGAAATCTTCAGAAAGTAAAATCAACAGGAATTAGATTTGTTTTTAAATTCCTCTTTCTAAAATGCAAAATGGTTGGATGGTTGGAGTAAGTCCAAAATGACTCCTGGTTTAAAAGCTTGAATGAATAAGTGTGTGATGGAGCTAAAATATCAATGGAGTACATGGAAAATATCATGAAGGCCAAAGGAGACACAGAAGGGAGTTAGTTCCACAGCTAAATGCAGCAGAAAAGCCCAGTAAATTAGCAGCTTCATCTCAACAGCTCTCACATTCACTTCCCATTTACCTTACACTGGGACTAAGAAAATATTCTCAAGGCATAAGGTGTCAAATTGAGCTTTCACTGTTTTCTACAATGTAAGAGAGGGGCAGATTGACTCAGCATCAGAAATTGTCATGACATCAACCTTAAGAAATAGTCAATTTTTATCAGCATTTCTTTTTAAGATTTGGCTCTTTGCCTCCTTAATCAACCCTGACAGTTTAAAGGAGCACTCTCAAAACTATGTCTAAAATTATAAATTCAATTTATTATTTCAAAGATGAAATGGACTTTGAATAGCTGAGACGGAAACAGCATCAATGTGCGTGAGAGTTCTAGCACCAGTGAAATACACTAAATGCCAATTTTCATATTTTTTAGTCAGTTCATATATCTATATCTATATAACAAATAAAATTAGTCACAACCTAACAAATGGCTAGGAATAGTAATATTTGCAAATTCTTGCAAATATGATGTATAACACCGTACCCATTCTCATTGGAATGTCTGAAGATTATTACTATCCCAAATTTCATAATTACATTCTTGGTAAATACGGGAAAGGTATATAAAGATTGTATAAGCAAATATGAATTTATGTGCTAATGAGAGCCAACCATAGGTTTGCATCTTCCTACTCTCATTTCTTCTATTTCAGCATTTATTTTGTTTGTTTCTTCCAAATGCCTACATTTGTTTGTATTTCATTATAAAGGAAATGATTGCAATGCAGGGGAGAAAATTTCTAAAGATAAACTTTTTATCTTTTTTATTGACATACATGATACAGTCACATGTGTAAAGTGTATTAATCTTAAGTATACAATTTAGTACATTTACACATGTGTTGATGAAGTTTATGTTCATGTAGTCTCCACTTAGATTAAGATATTAACCATTTATAGCACCCCAGAAGGTCCACCATGTTGCCTTCCTGTCAACATCCATCCACCCTCCCCTCCCCATCAGCTTTTCCTATAACTGATCTTTACAACAGTGGAATAATGCAAAATATATTGAGGTTGACTTTTTTTAGCTCAAAATAATGTTTCTGGGATTCATCTATGTTTGGCATATGTAAGAAATTAATTCATCTTATCACTGTTTATTTTCATTGTGTGATTATACCACAGATTATTCACTCTCCTGGTGATAAACATGATGAACATAAGTAGCTGCTCCATTTACACATGTATCAGTAGTGTAAGATTCTATTTATTCCAAATCCTCATCTATGCTGGATATTATCAGTCCTTTTAATTTTAGCTCACTTAGTGTATATGAAGTGATATTTCATTGTGGTCTTAATTTGCATTTCCTTGATAATTAGTAACATTGACCACCTTTTCACATGGCTGTTCAGGCCATTTGGATATCCCCTTTTTCTGAAGTTTCTGTTTAAGAGTTTTGTTTTATTGAGTTATCTTGGTCTTCCTATATATTTGTAAGAATGTCTATGTATTATATATGTGAGGACTTGTCAGATACCTTTCCAGATACATAGTTATAGATACATTTTTCTTTTTCTTATAATACTGTCTTTTAAATAGTTGTTCTTATTTTAATGTAGTCTGATAATTCATTCTTTAAAAGTTGATTTTGTGCCCGATTTAAGAAAGAGTTTTCTAATAGATATCACTGTCTTTTAAATAGTTGTTCTTATTTTAATGTAGTCTGATAATTTATTCTTAAAAAGTTGACTTTGTGCCCAATTTAATAAAGCGTTTTCTAATAGATATCACAAAACGTATTTGTCTATGTTTTCTTTGAGAAACTGTATTATTTTGCAATGACATTTAGGTCTCTGCTCCATCTCAAATTGTTTTTGTCTGTATTTAGTAACAAAGGGATCTAGGGTTTTTTTTTTTTTTTATGTATATAAAGTTTCTGTGACCTATGCATTGGTAAACCATGGCTCGAGAACCAAATATGGCTCACGGAGCCCCTTAAAAGCAGATTTAGAAGTCAGAAATTTTGTTTTCCCTAATGGTCTTGAAGATGTAAGGTACTCTGTTGAGAGAGGATCTGTAAAACTCTGTGTGAGGGAGCCACATGGATGGAATTTCAGGCATCGTCTAAGATCTGAGAATATCCTCAGTCAGCAAGAAAACGGGGACTTGGACCTACAACCAAAAACACAAGTCTACCAACAACCACGTGAGCCTAGAAGAGGGTCGTAAGCTCCAGAAAGGAACACAACTCAGACAACACTTTGATGGCATCCTTGTGAGATCATGAGCAGAGGATCCAGCTGGGTTCGCTAGATTTCTGACCCACAGAAACACTGCGATAATAAATGTATGTTGTTTCAATCTGCTAAATCTGTGATAGTTTGCTACACATTAATAGAACAGTTAAGTGCTGAATTTTATCAATGCATTTTCTGCACCAATTAAGATATTCAAGCCGGGTTCGGTGGCTCACGTCTGTAATCCCCCAGCACTTTGGGAGGCTGAGGTGGGTGGATCACGGGAAGTCAGGAGTTTAAGACCAGCCTGGACAACATGGTGAAACCAGTCTCTAAGAAAAATACAAAAATTAGCCAGGTGTGGTGGCAGGTGTCTGGATTCCCAGCCGCTCGGGAGGCTGAGGTAGGGAGAACTGCTTGAACCCGGGAGGCAGAGGATGCAGTGAGCCGAGATCACGCCACTGCACTCCAGCCTGGGCAACAGAGGGAACTCCGTCTTAAAAAAAAAAAAAAAAAAAAAAAAAAAAGGTATTCATGTGTTTTTTTTCTCCTTAACTCTCATAATTTGATGAACTATATTGGTTGATTTTAGTACTTGAAACCAACCTTGCATTCCTAATGTAAGTTTCACTTATGGAGTGTTATCCCTTTGCAATATTTTGTTTGGAATTTTATGCTCATGAGAGATATTAGCCTATAATTTTTCTTTTTTGCCTCGTCTTAAACAAGTTTTGGTATTGGTGTTACCGCTTCATAAAGTAAGTTTGGAAGTAACTGTTCCTTATTTCCTATTCCCTGAAAGGATTTGTTGTAAAATTCGTTTCATTTATTCCTTAAATGTTTGGAAAAATTCACCAGTGAAGCCTTTTGAGCCTGAGTTCCACTGTGAGAATAATTTAAATAGGTTCAATTATTTTTCAAATTGTTCCATAACTGTTTAGGATATTTTCATACTGTGTGGGTTTTTGATAAGTTTTGTTTTCTGATAAATTTATCAATTTCATCTATATTTTCAATTATATTGGTATAACTTTTTAATAATATCCTCTTATTACCTACTTAATATCTATCGAATCTGCAGCAACGTTCTCTTTTTTCATTTCTATGGTAATTTGTCTCTCTTCGTTTCTTTTTCGGTCTTCCTAGACATTTAATCTTTCTTTGCAAAGAATCAACTCTTTGTTTTGTTGATTTTCATATATTATAATATGTCTGTTTTCTTTTACTTTTTCTTTTTTGCTCTTCTGTTTATTATTTCTTTCATTTTATCTTTGGTTTAAATTTTTCAGCTTATTGAATTATTCTTTTCAACATTTAAAAAAATATGTGCATCAATTTCAACCTTTCTTCTTTTTCAATGCATGCATTTACTATTACATTTAGTACTGCTTTACCTAATAACAAAAGTTTCATCATAGTATATTCTGTACAATTTCAATTATTTAAATTTATTGAATGTGCGCTATGGACCAGTATGTGGTCAATATTGGCAAATAATTTCACGTGTACTTAAAGAGAATGTATATTCATCAATATTTATATGTAATAATCTATGAATTTCAATGACATAAAGCTGGCTAATAGTTTTTTTCAATCTTTCATACCTTTACTTATTTTTAGCTGCTATTTCTATGAGATACTGAGACATGTTTAAATATTTGCCTACTTTTTTTCTGTAACTTTTGGTGTATGTTTTTTTGGAACTGTGTTATTTGAGCTTCTGTTTGTCTAAAAATGTCTTAATTTGTATTTATTTTGAAGAAAAATGTCACCATGCATAAAATTCTATGTTGGCACGTTATCTTCATCATCATTATCAATATTATTATTTTATCCAGCACTTTAACAATGTCATTTTGTGGTCTTCTACTTTCCTTTTATATTGTTATTGTTGAAATGCCAGCTGTCAGTCAGTGCTGCTTTTTTTGAGAGTAATGTGTCATTTTAAATAGTGCCTGTTTTTAAATTTATGTTTTTTTTATCTTCAGCTATTTGATCATGAAATGTTTGAGTGTGATTTTCTTGCCATGTTTGCATTCATGAATTCAGGAACTCATTTTTTATTATAATTTCAGTTCTGGGATACATGTGCAGAACGTACAAGTTTGTTACATAGGTATACACGTGCCACGGTGGTTGGCTGCACCCATCAACCAGTCATCTACATTAGGTATTTCTCCTAATGCTATCCCTCTCTTAGTCCCCCACCCCTGAACAGGCCTCAGTGTGTGATGTTCCCCTCCCTGTGTCCATGTGTTCTCATTGTTCAACTCTCACTTATGAGTGAGAACATGCAGTGTTTGTTTTTCTGTTCCTGTGTTAGTTTGCTGAGAATGATGGTTTCCAGCTTCATTCATGTCCCTGCCAAGTACATAAACTCATTTTTTTTTATGGTTGCATAGTATTCTATAGTACATATGTGCCACATTTTCTTTATCCAGTCTATCATTGATGAGCATATGGATTGGTTCCAAGTCTTCGCTATTGTGGACCGTGCTGCAATAAACCTGTGTGTGCATGTGTCTTTATAGTGAAATGATTTATAATCCTTGGGGTGTATACCCAGTAATGAGATTGCTGGGTCAAATGTTATTTCTAGTTCTAGATTCTTGAGGAATTGCCACACTCTTTCACAATGGTTGAACTAATTATAGATTGAAATTCTCCATCTAGATTTTTCTTAATTTTTTAAAATAACGGTTATTTTAAAGCCTGCATCTAAAGTATCATCTATTGCTTCTATTGATAATATTTTTCCCTTGGTTGCTGGTTACATCTTTGTGCTTCACTTGTCTCATTTAACTCAAACAAATCATAGCATGCCTATTACAAACCCAGTCCTCACTTTATGCCCAAACCTACCAAACACTCCTAGGCCAAAAAATTTTCTCCAGATTTAGCACTCTCATTTTTTTAAAAACAAAATTTTGGAAAAATCTTGATATTTTCTACTTATGTAGTAGAATCTGTGGCTTGCTGCTATGTATTATATTTTACTTAGTAGTGAAAGACATCCAATATTTTTATTATAAAAATAGATTTATGTCATAGGACTATTTGTAAATACTTTGAAACATCCATATATAATTGTGAAGAAATAAAACTTTCCTAGATTTCTCAGTGCTCTTGAATAAAGTTTCTGCTTCCCTGACCCACAAAGCATTGTATATAATATAAAGATAGGGAATGTTTTCTTTCACTTCTCCTAAAAATATTCTACTCTTCTCATACCTTGAGAATTAGATATGTAGCCGTTCATTTAGTTTAATGATCTGATCTGAAGGGATAACAAAACTTCTCTTATCTCTTCTAGAGGTTCAAAGAGAGCAGAGACAAGGTCCTAAAGTAAGTTCTAAGGTGTCAGAAGTATGGGGATGTTATCTCCTTCGGTATTTACATCTCAAAAGATATGCAGCCCATCATCTGGAGACTTTATCTGCTGTTTATCTGGCCCTTGGAAAGATATGTTTATGTTTCTAAAGTTTATAGTGAGAACATAGGATCCTCTTCAACTCATCATAATGGAATGAAAAATTTTTCCTTCCTGTTGGGAAAGGAGGAATCTGCTTGTCTCTCTCCTGTAAACAAATGGAGAAAATCTATTGTTCCTTGTCCCTCATTTATGAGCTATAAACTGCTACCTGTGTAGACAAATTTTATTGACTCTTATCACATCACTGTAGGACTAAGGTGTGGGGGATGCATGCTGCTATATTACTCTGGTTGTCGATCTAGTTATGAGTATCTGTTAAGAACTCTTTACTTCTGACCCAGGTGTTATATCTCTAGCTACGTCTATATCTATAACTATATCTATATAGTCTATATCTGTGGGATAATATCTCAGACCTTTCACAATTCTTTACAAAACGGTACAACAGTACTTAAATATTTCATATTTTAATTAAACCACTAGTATGTTTTATAAAAAATAAAATTATTTTAATTACTTGATTAGTTTTTCCTGAATGCATAAAGTTATTCATTTGCTCCTTCAATGAGTATTGTTTATATTCTCACTATGTACCAGTCACAATACTTTACCCTTGACATACATTGGTAAATAAGTCAAATATGATCCTGACTCATGAGGAGAACATAGTTTAGTAGAGAAAAAGCCTCAATTAATGTGCAAAATATTATAAATTTTAGTCTGATTATTGTATTTCTACTGCTCACATTCAATAGTTTATCAAACAAATCATAGCAGAAAGAAATCTTACCCCTAGCCCCATGAAATAAAATTTTCTTTGAAGATGTTTGATAAGTAGTAAATTCAGAATTGACAGTAAGTACAACAATGTACTTAAAAGGGATAGTGTGCATGTATGTGTTAAATATATGAAAATGAGTGAGTACATAATCATACTTAGTGACTGTGTGTGTGTGTACACATGTACACTACCTAGAGGTATGGCTCTAGGGTGGGAATGATCAGGTTGAGGATGAAAGGGTCATAAAATGTTTTCCTCTGCACATTCGTTCATATTCACTCAGCAAATGGCCATCAAGTGCTATATGCTAAGAACTGTTGTGAGTTAAATACATTAATCAAAGAACTTGGTTTTGTCTCTAAATATTACATTGTTATGAGATTAAATAACTGTGCAAATTTATTTAATAAAAATCCTATGCAGCAACTTAATAATAGGCATTCAAATAACATATCTGAGTATATAACTTATTTATTTTAATTATTGGACATTAATGTTGATTGTTGGCTACTCATTATTTTATTTTAATGAGAAAAATTAATTTTTAAAAGTTCAGTTTAACTATAAAGAAGAACCCTTCTACTTAAAAGCTTAATACCTCCATATATCAACAACACAAATATAAGGTATGAACACACAATTGGGTGATTGAATTCTGTGAGTGCCTTATGAAAAAATATACCAAGAGTCATTCTGATGAGTACAAGTTCTAGCACCTAGTGTTTTGTAAGCCAAAATATGCCCTCTAGTGTGTACATTTAAATTTAAATTCCATGGTAAGTATTACCATCTAGACTTTATTCTATCTGTATAAAAAGGTATATAATATTAGGACTTTGGACAATTGACCAACTTGTTGTAATAAACCGAATATTTGATATAATATGTTCCAATCTTCTTCAAATAGTTTCTTGCCTGAAACTTTCTGTTATTTTGAGACTGGATATTGGTTCTTTCTGAGTAAAGACACATGTGCATGTTATAATTGGCAAAAAGAAAAAAAAAAAGCCTTAACCTATAGGATATATATACTAACATAACAAAAGCATCAAGTTCATTGCCATATAAATATATATGAGGGAAGTTTAATCAATACTTTAAGTTTAAGATAGAAGATAATAGAACAAAAAGTTACCCTGTTGATTCTCAACTTGGAGAAAAATAAACACTGATTTTTCTTTTACAATTTGAAATACTAGGAGTTGAGGAAAACTATAAATACAATATAAATGTTTATAATGAGTTTTGTGCTGGTGAAAACACTGATGTTATCAACAATATTACACAACTGAGGATGTGACTAAATAATACAAAGCAGGCAGAGGAACAGAAGATTCAAACATATTCACTTCAGAGCAGGAATTCAACTGGAAAGAGATACATACCCAAAATTTTTCTTTCTGCCCTTGTGCTCCTCTCAGTGTGCCCCATCTGCAATTAATAACAATAATAAAGATTGGTATGGTTAAAATGTTTGGTTTGCTTCTTGAGAGAATGCAGATTATTGTCATTCCTACAACTTTTGTGTTTTCTCTCTGTCCCATCCTGTTTCACAATGGAAATATCACTATTGCCCTACAGAAATGTGCTCGTATAGTTTTCTTCTTTACCATAACATTATTTATGTGCACAGAACAGACTCATCTATATATAAATGCATTGAAATCAAACTCATTGATCACAGGAGAGAAAGACTAAGGCAACTGGGGTACAAAATATTTAAAATAACTTAAAAAATACTTATCCTCAAAGACTTGGAATTAACTCAAATGCCCATCAATGATAGACTGGATAAAGAAAATGTGACACATATGCACAATAGAATACTATGCAGCCATAAAAAAAAGATGAGTTCATGTCCTTTGCAGGGACATGGATGAAGCTGGAAACCATCATTCTCAGCAAACTAACACAGGAACAGAAAACCAAACACTACATGTTCTCACTCATAAGTGAGAATTGAACAACGAGAACACATGGACACAGGGAAGGACACATGGACATCACGCATCAGGGTCTGTTCAGGGTTGGGGGCTAGGGGAGGGATATCATTAGGAGAAATACCTAATGTAGATAACTGGTTGATGGGTGCAGCAAACCACCGTGGCATGTGTATACCTATGTAACAAACCTGCACGTTCCGCACATGTACCCCAGTACTTAAAGTATAATAATAAAAAAAGAAAAAATAAGATTAAATTTAAAAAATAAAAAAGAAGGTACAACCATATTACAGAAGAAATTAAAAGTCATAAAGTGATAAAAATACTTGTCCTCTTTATGTCTAGTCCCTTGAAACTCTACCAAACAAATCTACCACTCTACCTTAAATGACATAAACTAAACATTTCTAGGACTACTGTTATAAACCATAATGGAAACACAGACAATTTTGTAGAAGATGGAGTTTATGTAAAAATATTTGTATATACATATTATTTTATAAAGTGGCTTTGTGCCTAACGTAGAATTTTTGTAAACACATGTGTGTGTGAATACAGAAGCTTATATTCCCACTACTGGTCCATTCTGAATATAGCACTTAACAGCTCATAAAAGACCTAAACCTACATGATTTCATTTTTCTTCATGATTAAATCCAGAGAAGTAGGTATTATTAACCTGTTTTATTTACCGAGATAATGGAGACTTGTCCAATATCATACACTGGGAATTGTTGAGCCAAGACTCCAAGTCTCACATTCTTCTTAATACATTATATTGATTTTCTTTTACAGACATATGGGCCCCATTTGCAGTGTGTACTTACTTTCATGTAATTTGGTGAATTATGAGCACATAATTAATTCTGCCTACATATTACCCCATTAACCTAAACCTAATATTCAAACAGCAGGGTTCCTTTAAGCTAAACTATGGTCTGCCATTACAAAACAAACATACCTAGGAGAGATACAAATTTCCAACATGGTCAGCTTGCAGAAGGCTATTTTTAATAGGGTACCGAATAGAATGATGGCATCACAGCATGGAGGTATTGCCTAAAGATGACAAGTTTATGGTAGGGCTCTTGTGACACACACACACACACACACACACACACATCATATAATCATATAATGTATTTGGATCCTTTGGCATGAGGGGGAGGGAAGAAAAAGTGATTTGGGGTGTGCAAAAACACTAAAGAATAATTTTGCTTTCTCCTGTTCCCGATAGAGACTAGGAGTGGTATTTGCACTGACTGCCGTCTCATTTTTTTCTCTGCTGCATACAAGGGTACAGTGCTCCAAATGTTCTGGGTGGTTAACTATGTAAGTTGAAACTGGTTCAATTTCCAAAGACATTTTCCAGTTTTATAATTGCATTTATGTTCTTGTAACTTTTCTTTAAACAGCCATCACCACTGAAAAAACTTTACCAATACTAAGTGCCCCAAAATATTCAAAGTCCATTACCTTCTTCAAGTAGTAGATCACATCTGATATCTTCAAGCACTCATTTTCTACCCATTTATAAAAGCTGTCATAACAATTTCAGAAAGACTTTACCACTCAATCAAACTTCCTTGAGGGTGGTCTGGTTATCATTTATGTTAGCTATTCATGCAAAATACGAAATCCAAGACTAAATCAGAAGAATCTAAGGGATCATTTAACTCTAAGATTAGAGGCACAGGAGGGATCCAATATCTGAGATCCCACCAGGTATGGTGAGAAGGTAGAGACAGTCCTGCTTAAGCCACCGTGGAGCCTCCTACAAAAGAATTCCCTATCAAGAAGGAAGGGTTCAGGCATGACAAGCTGGACTCAGTAATGAAGCCTTGAACAAAACAGACAAGTAGCAATTGAGTATAATTTGTTCTCGCTCCCTTGGGTCTGTCCAAGTTCAACTACTACACTGGACTCAGCTGAGGTCGGAGATGGGAAAGGGGCAAGTCAGGCTTGTCATTAAAACCTCAAAAAGCTATTTTATAAAAAGTTTGTGTATTCTATAAAACACTTTAAAAGTACTTAAAAAGAGGATAAAGCAAAGTGATAAAGGTTTCCTTCCTACTTTATAAGATCTTTCAGACTTCTTGAGCTCAGTGCATTGAGGATGGTGCACGGGAAGAAGAAGAAATAGAAAAGTCATACAAAGGAGAAGAGGAACTTCCGAATGTAGTGTATACTTTTTATTATTTTAGTATTACTGAATAAATGAAAAGTGAAATAAAATCCCTTAATATGGAAACTTTCAAGAAGTACGAACTATTATTTTTACTTTTGTTCAACTGCCATTATTTTTCATTATGTTTCTGTATATTTTGTTACAATTTTCCAAACAATAATTTCAATGATGTAAAAGACAACAACAATCCTGCAAATATTTCAGCTCTTTAGAGTTGCTCTAAGTTTCTTTTCAAGAAACGTGTTTATTATATATAATTTTAAGATGCTCATTTAAAACACCAGTCATTCTAAACCCAGAGAGAATAACAGCGTTCAGATTGTTATATGCTTTCTCAAAATGGGCAGCCAAACCAATTATCCATGTCATTGACTAGAGGTGACAGAGTAAAAGGAAAGCAAGGCAACTGAGTCTAATAGTTTCAGAGACTAAGGTGCTGGTATAAAAAGATTAACAAAAGGTGTTAACCTTTACGAGAAATTCAAATGAAAAGAAAATATTACACATGGAAAATACCACCACAGAAGCTACTGTGCAGTTAGTTCACTTATGTTACAGCCTCTGTGTCAAATGATGAGCAAAGTCCATTCATCACAGGATTTAACATTTGCACTGCAACCTTCAGCTATCTCTTCTCTCCTCTATCTTCTCTAGAAAGTTTCTAAGATGGTAACCACATATTTCATAGAGTTGTAATAATGGGATCTTGTAAAAAAAAAAAAAAAAGATTTGTGGGTTGTTCCCCAATGGTATCATAGCAAATTCCTATGCTTAAAACCTTTATTTAAACTAAAATAAAGGTTAACTAGTGCAAAACAAGAAGGCTACTTATTTTATTCACTTACAGGAAAGAGTTCCCATCTTCTCGAGGGCATTTTTTCCTAATATATGTATGTTCCTAAATTGTGGTACTATTCCTTTGCTTGCTATTATACCAACAGGTTGAAAATTCTAGAAATATGCACATATTTTCACAAATGTTCTCTTATAAGTCAGTGGCTGTCTCTGAGGATATGAAGATCTTCATTATATTCATATTTGCTCTAAATATAACTGTGCGTACTCTATTTCCTTTTACATTTACCTCTTAATTTGAAGATTATTTACAAACATTTGTTTAGACCGACCAGAACTTTATTTTACTGAGGTTATTTATTTATTTATTTATTTATTTTATTTATTTTTGAGACACAGTCTCACTCTGTTGCCCAGGCTGGAGTGCAGTGGCATGGTATCGGCTCACGGCAACCTCTGCCTCCCAGGTTCAAGTGATTCTCCTACCTCAGCTTCCCAAGTTGCTGGGATTACAGGCAATTGCCACTGCGCTCAGCTAATTTTGGTATTTTTAGTAGAGACGGAGTTTCACCATGTTGGCCAGGCTGGTCTTGAACTCCTGATCTCAAGTGATCCTCCCGCCTTGGCCTCCCAAAGTGCTGGGATTACAGGTGTGAGCCACTGCGCCCGGCCTACTGAGGTTATTTCTATACCTTTGTGAGTATCTTAGGTTCACAAGTTTGAGAGATCTTAATACTGGCTATTTGTTTTTTTTGTTTGTTTGTTTTTGTTTTTCCTCAAGGAAATCCACTTAATACGGTTCTTTGGAATTGTTTTTACTTCATTAAATTGTTTCAATTATTTGTTAAGACCCATTAATACCATTTTCCCATTAAATTGTTTCAATTATTTGTTAAGACCCATTAATACCATTTTCCCTCAAAATGTAGTAATATCTGGGAATACGCTGGCTTTGAAAAAAATCTGGGCAGCTCTTAGCCCATCTATCACGTTCCCTAAGGATGCATGAGTGCTGCCTGAGCCTCTCTGTCTCTCTGCATTGAGACTGGGTTTCCATCTCTCACTCAATGCACATAATTATTTAAGCTCTTCCTCCAGGACAGATTTTATATGCCCACTTTTCATGAGTTCCAGAAACACTACTTTTTTATATATAATATGAAAAGTCTTTATGGAAAGACCATAAAGTTCCTGCGGAGTAAGGTATTAAAACCCATAAAACAGTGATTTAAGATCTTGTACTTCTACAGTTATTAATATTTCCACACATGTTCCTTTTACAAGGGATATTGTTCTTTTTAGATAAGTGTATTAAACACTAAACTTCTCTAAACCCTATTTTAAGTTATGCCTAGATAGTAAAATTATTGTAACCGAATAATTTGCATATGACTTTAAATGATTTTTTTTTTTTTTCTTTTCCTTGGTTTTGGAAGATTTTGTCAATGAGGCCCATACACCCAGTGAAGTCAGATTAGACATCGTAAATAAGAGAGGGTTGAAAA